ACCGCCTCCGCCACCGCTACCGCCCTTTCTCTCCTCCGCCATTTTTTTTCTTTAGAATGATCTGGAATCTACGTTCGGTTTTGTTAAAAGGTATTTTCTTTCATTACTGGTTTCGAATTTCGAATTGTAAAAGGGAGTAAATAAAGATGTGGAGCAGAGAGCGAGGGACAACAGGGGAGGTGAGAGCGGATCCGGTCACCGCCAGGTAGGGCATGGTGACGGTTACCGCTCACCAGTCTCGACGGTGGACTGGACCTAAACGGTGGGTAGTAGAGGGAGTGGGCCCATTTATACACTGAAAAACTCCACAGCTTGGACGGTTGATGGTCACGTCACATGGGCCAGTGCCCTACTGGATGTTGGGCTCAATCATTGACCCGGTTGGATGCAGCCCAAACATGAAGCAACCATGATCCGTATCAAACGCTACACTCACGGGCCGGTGACCTTAATGCTGATTGTAATTGTACAACTTACTCGCGCTCAAATGGCATGAATTAGTAAAATCTCAAAAAGAAAACCTTGACTTAGGGGCTGTTTGGTTCGGTTTTTTTAAGGGGAAAGCTGCCAAAGTGTCAGAACTTTGGCAGCTTTCTCCCAAAATCGTCTCTTATAGAAGCGATTTTGGGAGAAAGCTGCTAAAGTTCTGACACTTTCGGTGTGTTTGGGATTTTACTTAGGGAAGGGAAGGAAGGGGAAGGAAGGGGAATTTTTCCCCTTCCTTCCCTTCCCCTCCATTACACCCCAATTTGGGGTGTAAGAATTTGGGCCAAATTTCCCCTCCATTCCCCTCCTCTACCCTCCAAAATGAAACTCCCAAACAATGTTAAAATAAAATTTCCCTTCCCTTCCCCCTCTCTACCCTCCATCCAAACAGGCCATTTGGCAGCTTTCCCCCCTTTCCCCTTCAAAAAAAACCGAACCAAACGCGTCCTTAGGGGTTTTTATGAAACCTCCTGCACTTTAAGGTTTCTAAAAAAACACCCTAATTTCAAATATAATAAACCACCTAATGGCGCCAATGGCGTCACTGGTCATTACGTTGATCGTGAAGGAAATATGTGCTTGTCTATCCATTAACAGGGTTAGGGGGCTCTGTGGAAAATCTTGGAAGTTTAGGGGGGCGTTCAGATACACCCCAAAGTTTGGGGTGGGGGGTTGTACCGCATACAATTTGGGGACTTTAAGGGTCTTCATTCTCATCTCATGTAAGGTAGTAAATCCAGTAGTCTTTTGGAGAAGTCCAATGATTTCAATCTGCAAAATAGTTTCGCCATAATGCAAATACAATTAGAAGAACGAGTTACAGGAAGAAAAACATACATATAATGCAAGAGAAAATAACAGAGACAGCCAAATTCTGTTCTACTCACATTTTGCCTTTTTATCGAGAGATTGTTTATGACTTTTAAGAGTTAGAATCATCATAAATTTTACAAACATTATACTTGCAGCAGTTTCCTGAGTTCGCAAGCTTGACTGCTTCCTACATATTACCATATATTTTATCGTACTAAATTTCACAACAAACATTAATCAGTCGCAATGTTCAGAGGCCTTCTATTTATATACATCTTCAGCACATAAACTGCATATCACGTAGATGATATATGCATCTATCGCCATTAATCATCCTTCTTCATCTGAGTCTTGGATAACCTTACTCAGCTTAACCCTTTTCTTGGGTACCACAATCTCCTGCTCATCCTTCTCACTCTCAGTATCTTCAGCAGCATCAGCACCCTCGCCATCAGATTCTGGATACGTTGCAACCTTTTCAGGTTCTTTGTCTTCACCTAAACCGTCAGATTCTTGGTCAGATTCATCCCCAGAATGACTCGGTTCTTGTTCAGGTGTATCCATCTTCTTTGTCTCTATAATCTTGAAATCTCTTGCAGTGCTGCGTTTTGCGTTCCTCAAAAGATTCACTTTTGTTAGTTTGCTGAGTTGAATGAGATACCTCTCATAGTCTTCAATTTGATATATTAGGTCAGGAATGCATCTGTTCTCTCGTTTTATCTTGTTGATGATTCCCTTATGCTGCGTATTATCCTGCTGGTTCTGCATTACAAAAAAAATATGGATGGGATTCTTTGGGCTATTACATTTCTAGCAAAGTATAACTTTAGTCTATTTTGGTGGCCCGATCTTGTTTACTCCCTTGCCTGGAGATTGAAGGAGATGAGTTTAAGACCTTGAAGAAGTGATGGTGACCCCTTTACCGCAACTAATTTGCTTTTGAAAGTCGGTTCACTAGCGCATCTCAATATCACTAGACTGATAGTGCTCATGTGTACATATTCTTAGCAAATTTCTTAGTAACCATGCAATTTATTCATTAAACATCACTTCTATGAGTTCTTTGGCATGCAAGTGGAATTATGACGTATTTTTGCTGAAATCATCCTTAGAGATTCTTGCATATATGGATGTTGGAAAGCCTGACGATCCTAACACTTGACTATCTCCTACTGACTTCGTATTTTCTGGGAAGAACACTTTTCTTGCCACAATATGATGTAAGTTTTTTAATTTTCGTATTATGGTTGGATATCGGGTGATGACTAGCAGTACAGCAGCATTAAGTTAACAAGGTAATTGTTACATAAGCTTCATAATGGGGCATGTAATAAGTCTTCCTCATCATGTATATCGTCCACAATCTCTGAGTTTCACAATCCTGTCTATCATGAGTTTCACAAGTAAACCAAGATGGATAGTTATTACATCGCCCAAAGTGCTATTACATCGTCCACAATCCTGTCTATCATGAGTTTCACAAGTAAACCAAGATGGATAGTTATTTTACGCGCAAAGATCAAGACTACAGATTGATTGAGCTAATGTATATTCCCTCCAAAGGTCAAATTGCTGTTCTTTTTTACAAGGTGCAAACAATCTCTGAGTTCAAATGTTTCTACCCAAACAATCAGACTTTGATCCTCCGTGAGTTTGAGCTAGGGAGTTGTTAAACATGTCTTAAACATAATAAATATGATATGTGCATAGTTGCGCATTATTGTATGAAAAGTTTTATTCAACTCATATTTCTATTGGGACTCACCATGTTAAGGCCATGTAACAAGTATAAATTAGCACATTGCCTACTACATAGTCGGAAATATCTGCAATTATTATCAGCATGACAGCATGGGCGACTACTAAAATAAAAGATTACACTAGTATATTGCTATTAATACAGGTTTGTATGCTTGGAAGGTCCTACCTGATCTATAAAAACTTTTCGGAGACCATAAACCTTATAACATCAAACTATGCAGTTAAGTACGCTTGGTAAGACGTGAAAGTAGTACTATGAGTCTATGATAGATAACATATGATGTTCTCATTTGAGCTTTTTGGCTTTTAATATAGCTCGTAGATTAATTCAACTTCCCAGCAAATTTGAAAGTCTAACTCCCACACTGACCCCAAACAGTACAGCCTCAGGAAAAAAACATAAACAAAGAAAAAAGAAGCTTCAATTTTTCCCCCCCTGGTAATGCAGAAAATATTGGAGTTCTTCCCGCTTCCATGAGGGCAAACATCACGACTATGAGGCACTTCTTCCTGACTGCCAATTTGACCTACTAGGTTTTATGGAAAGCTCATTCTTGGACAGGAATTTAGCCTCAAGTTAGACCATTGTCATCAATTTACAGTCCTGTCATAACAGACCTTTTTTTTAAAACGTGAAATAGGCTCAAATGATAATAATGAAGATCCACCCTAAACCAAGTACTACATGGAACACCAGCCAAAAGCTGAACAAATTTGTTTGGCACTTTACAAATGAACACAAGAAACGAATTGAGGTGCTAAACCACCTAAAACTAGTACCACCACTATTATTGTATCTGTTGCGTGTCAATGTAGAAAGTTTCTTGCATCTAACCTGCAATCAGTGCAAATCTTACATAATCGTCTAACATTTCAAAAAAAAACCTAATCATAAACAAAAATAATCTGGTAGAATCAATTACTAGTTTCGGATTCATGAAATAAGTTGCTTCAAATCATAAAATTAGCTTTACTCAAAGAGCATGAAGGTAAAGTTAAAATGGATCAGGAGAATTACTGTTTGAACTAGAGCCATGAAGTTGTAAAGGGGACTGGTAAGCTTTTTGCAAGTTACTTCTGCTAACTTTTGAAACTTAAGTCCTGGCAAGAACTGTCTGCAGCCTTTCGGCGCAATCCGAAGCTTTGTCATACGAGCCAAAAGCTTGTAAAATCTTGCGCTTAATTTCAACAATTGCTCTGCTAAAGAATCTGTGGATAAAGAATATATTAGAACTGCATAGTACAGAATGTTTTATTTTTAGGGTAAATTACAATAAACGCCCATGAAATTTCACCGTTTTGCAGTAAACCCCTACTTTCATAATCACACTAAATTCCCATAACTTCTCTATTTTGCAGAAAACTTCCAAAATTTTCTGTATTTTGCAGACAACCCCCATAAATTAGAAACAGAGAACAAAATAAAGAGGCATCTCAAAATTAAATTTGGTGTTTAGTATAATTTACCCAAAAGATATTGGGGTTTTTCTGCAAAAATTATTGGGGGTTTAGTACCACTTTAAAAGTTTATAGGAGTTTACTGCAAAATGCTGAAAGTTCATGGGGTTTTAGTATAATTTTAACCAGAAATATACCTTTAAGGTTCATCTCTGTAAATGATGACATAACATCCACCAGTGCTTCTGACCTGGAATAGATTGCTTCTTCCAGCAACATTCCAGGGAGCCTTTCGCCAAATTGAATGTTTCCATTGGGCTTAGCAAATTCATGACGGAAGGTGGAGACAGCCTTCAGCCTTGATACAGCCCAATCCAAATCGACAATAGAAAATTCAACCAATTGCATCATCACAGTAGCAATTACATTTTTAGTTGAATGATTAATAACTAGAAATGTTTCAGACATAGCTGTAGGATCCTTATCTTCAGATCCAATAACTTTAAGCAATTCTGAAGCCATCTCACGTGCAATAACCAGATCATCTGATGCTGGTAACAGATTAAGGGCAAGCGATACTAAACTTCGTGCAGCACTGTGATTTTCAACTTTATGGCTCCTACATATGCCCACCGCCCAGTTCCCGTAAAGTTTTCTTTGTTCATGTGCTAATTTCTTTCCAAGTGTCACCATTAACTCAGATAGAACCTGACAAAAAAGTTAACTCAAGTTTGTTTCCATCTTTGGAACAAGTATATAAGTCTATTCATCACCTGATCCTACTTATGTAACTAAATAAGCTTTAAAATAAAAGGAATTATCTTATTCCCCAGAAACCGTTCTTGCCAGAAACTTTTCAATATAGTAGGATAATTGAGGATTATTTTATTAACTAAGGATGTAAGCCTATTTAGCTAAGTTGAGTTTTGTAATCACTGTTCACTCATTAAAGAATAAAAAAATCCCGAGATTTGCACAACAATTTCAGGAAGAAAGGGAAATAAGATGGCATCTAAGTTATACGAACATAGGTACGGGTGCAGGTATGGGTGCAGGCACATGTATGGGACACGTCAAATTTGTAAAATGTAGGGTACAAGGACACGGCTACATATACACGTATATACAATGATACTTTACGTGAGATCAGTATTGTTTTTTCATTGCACGTGCTACAGAATAAAATTCCTATATTTTCTTTTATTATATAGAATAGATCTATAAATTAGATAATTGTTCATTTGTTAACTTGATTTCCAAAAGACCTTTTATAATAATATTCCTGAACTTGGTATGGGATGAAACAAACCCGATCTATGCCCAACATGTTTCAAGAATTGCATGTGAAGGGTAGAATATATACCTAAGAAGTATATGATTAAGTACACATTTGAATATATACCTAAGAAGTATATGATTAAGTATGTGACGAGTGCTTTAAACTAAAACATGTATTATATAATTAAGTACACATTTGAATAAGTGCATACAAATATATGATGAGCGTCCACTGAAGTTTCGGTGTTGGGTGCGCGTATAACATGGGTATGGTTCTAGATAGTACCCATGCAACATAGGAAGGCATCCTTGTATTTAGATATTAGAAAAATCTAGTTTCGAACGTAATCTCTTTAGATTTACTATTTCAAATGAAATGATCATAAAAGTTCACAACACCTAGGCTTGTTGCACTATTCAAATTTTTCACATAATTCAGGAATGTCCAAATAACAAACTAACCATGGCAGGTACATAAAATGAACATTGTTTTACACTTTTTCCAGGTTGTAGAATCCCAAAGATATTTTATATTAAAAGTCAGTCCTGTTCAACGTGTTTCGAGTTTAACCTGTAGAGAGAATAGAGAGAGAAAAGGAACTTTGTGATGCCAACTAACGTAGTGTAAGACAACATGCTGGGGGTTAGATAAAGATGCTCCTCCGTAGGTCCTACGTTCCAGTCTACATAGGGCACCCAGATTACTACTGATGGAGGGTGCGCTGCTCTGGGTACTCTCATAGGAACAGGCACATACAAAGTATAAAAATTAGTGGATGAAGTAGATAACTAAACAGTGTAATAATTTCTACAGAATATATGTACATGTATGCCACATCAGAAAAACAAATAAAATAATGCATGAAAACAAAATTGATTTTTCATGATAGTGAGAATTGAAATAGTAAATACAGAAAAGGTTCAGTTACCTCAGATTCCTGGAAACCAGTAGAGGAAATGTATCTAGCATATAGTGGCTTTATTTTCTTCTCCAAGAACAAGTGCATACTTCTCACAAATGGGTCATTTTCTAACAAGTCTTGTTCTTGAGGGTTGCCCTCAGCAGCATTAGTTCCACCTTCTAGATTCCAATCTGATGCGGACATAGAGTTCAACTCCTCGACTATTTCTGTAAGGTGCGTTTGAGAAGAATTCAACTTAAACAATTCATTTAGACACAACAACGACAGAACGGATTGATCCCGTTTACTTCCTACATTTTTCTTCCCTTTGGATTCCTTATTCTTTGGATCCTTTTCCAATTTTGGACCTGACATGAGCAACCAAATAAGACGCATTATAGGTTGTGCCAGGTGTTTGACATCCCCATAAATTAAAACATTCAAAACGTTGCCACTTTCTCCACGTTCCATCACAGAAATTGATTTTAAATGACGAAGGCAAGCCTTCAAAGAAAATGATATTAGCTTCAGGCTCTGGTCTAATCTCTTGCTAAAAGATGATTGAGAGTGATTCTGAGAAGCTACGTCACTAACGGCAGCAGCGTACAAATTCGCAGCAACCACTAATAACTGATGAATACTTGAGGTTGCAAAGAAAGATCTCCTTGTTTGTGATAGTTTTGAAAGAGAGGCACGAGAACATTCTCTTGGCTCGCTATTACTTGCAGTTGGGATATCTTGTGCAGTAGCTCTTGAAGGCCCTTTCCTGCCACTAACTTGTCTATTCAACTCTACCTTCTTTTCAATAAGACAATATGATTCAACAAGCTCTATAATTTCTTTCTCAAGATTAACCTTTTCTGTTGCTTTCTCCAACTCTGAAGCAACAATATTGACAAAGACTTCTATCACTCCAAGCAAAATCCAGGCTCGTAAATAGGCCTTTTCTCCATCCGATGAGTGAGAATCAGGATCTTGGCTCTGTCCTGGACCATCTGATCTGACATGTAATGTAGTCAAAATATGATTGAAAGCAACAATAGGAAATGCATCAAAATATAATCAAAAGTAATGGTACAAATGCATAAAGATTTCAGTTCAAATACAGAGTTAAAAAAACAAACAATTTGACATAAGATGAAAAGAAAATGCGAACCTTCTAATCTACAGCTGATCAAACTCTTTCGGATCTTTGATAAAGCATTTGAAAACTGCTCACCAGATGACGCCCTTCCTTCCTGCAGTTGTTCCAGGAAAGAATGTAACTACAAACTTTATATAATAACAGCCTCAACATGTCAATGAATGTAGCACTGTACCTCATTATCTTGTGAAATAGAGAAATCAAAGCATTGCCAAGAATGTTCCAATGGATTGTCAGATTTGCCATGGGGCTGAAGGAGAAGAATCCAAGAGACACAGGACAAAAGACAGTCTAGAGGTTCCAGAAAGCTCACTTTTCCATTCTCCAGCGTAAAGCAAGCATCAAGTCTGAGGAGAAATTTGGTATCCTGCCCATCAATTTTTTCTTGTCAGCTCACAATTTCCAAAAATATGTCGAGTCAGCCAGTAAGGCAAAATGTTTTCAAAGTACAGTGGCAGTTGCGGCTTCCTCAACAATGTTATATCCATAAGCAAAATATCTTGAAAATAAAAATGCATTCAAAACAAAGAAAGAAGAATGAGATGAATGTAAGTACCTCACTATAAAAGTTAAGGAAGTGAGGCAAGAGAAGATCAAAGATTGAACCAGCAATAAAAGGGTCTAAAACAACAAGCTTCATAAGACCGTAATACATGACTTCTTTAACTCTAGCCTGCATAAGGAATACTACCCATATTAAAATGCACTGTTAGAAATGTCTCACAAGTGAAAATCTAAGCATATATCGCATACCTTCTGTGAGAGACATCTACGGAGCAAGCCACTCAGTTCTTGAAAGAGACTTCCCCTCGTCCCACAGGGTACGTCAGTTTGTTGGCTGCAACTAGCTTGGCTTGAAGAATCTTGTAAAGAATCTGGGCCACTTTTCCTGGATTTATTTTCCACAAATATAAGATCAATTATGGTAATAGTAGCAGCTGTACGGATAGTATCTTCCCTTCTGAACATAGCCTTTCGGACAACCAATACAATGTAATCCTGAGAGTTATTTTAAAAACTTTTAAGTCCCGCTTCTAATCATTATATATGCTGAAGTTTGCACTTTAGGTAATCCCGAAATCGAACACATACCTGAAGGTTCCGGCTAAACTTAATCAGTGGCAGAACAGCTTTGACGAGACGAATGGAAGTTTCATCATGCATGAAAGTGAAATAATCCAATAATTCTTTCATGCGAGGAACAAATTCTGCCATTGAATATGGAAAACTTTGAACCAGACAATCGAGCAACCTTTAGAACATATCAAAAGGAATTGACACTTATAATTACAAACAATCATGAAATCATGCGAATATGATTATTTCTCATACATAAGGTTAGGTTAGTTACTTTATAATGGGAATACTTTGCTGAGGCTTCAGAGAAAGAATCCGAAACTTGCATTGCTCAATTATCTGCAGGCATTCAAGAAATGAAGATCATTTTTTATATTGAATATGAACAAACCACGCACGAACTACAGAGAAAGGCAAGACGGAGCATGAAGCAGCATATGTTCAGCCAAACCATCAATGAAAAGTTTTTAGAACCATTGGTTTCTGGTCTCACGTTGTAGACTTCCTACTACATGATCACAGTAAATCATTGGTGAGAAATCACAGATCACGAAATGGTGAAGCCATCATTAGCAATGTTGTGAAACTGGGTTCTACAGTCATCACTTAAAGCCTCGCTCCTAATAATCGAGCAGGCTGTGGAACACAACGCAAAATGGAGAAACTGTACTAACGATTAATGAGAGCTTTACAAGCTAACCGTTTTCTGTCAACACTCCAAACTACACTTTTTGGACGAGGCTAAATAGGAATAAACTAAATGCTATAAACTTGGAACATGTGGGTACATGCCATTCTATTTAGCAAACTATATCACCAAAACTTTTTTACTACATTTTCCCCTGATGTTGGAGATTTTCAAATCTAACCTTAGCTACGCAATCAAAATGTGCCTGCACCTGCTCATGATTTCCTAGAAATTGTCCCTCCCTCATTCATAACTTGCCTGCAATTTGGCACCATCTAATTGATGGTTTGAGTCAGATCAATGTCAGGTCAGAACAAATCTGACTATTTCCTTTTTGTAGATAAACAAGGAATTTGGAGATGACAACAATATTGATGTTGAGGATGATGAGGATGGCAATGATAAAAAAATGTGCCCTAAAATCTAGGAGACCATTGTAGGTAACTGCACGTCAGGGAGATGTCGTTGTTTCTGCAGCTAAGAATACTCAACATCTAGCACAAAGATTGTGGGTGTCTGGTCATGTTGCAGTTGCACAAACAAGTTGGTTCACCTATTTAATTTCAGACATGATACAAAGAGCTCTCACCCATTTACTCTACTAAGCTTAGATTTATGTATTATTACCCTCTTAAAGGATAATTGATTACACTAGCGTTAGTCTTGTATGTCTGTATGATAAGATCTATAACTTTATGGTTAATGAAGATTGAAGTGCAGTATTTCTTATATTTATTTAGTTGTATCAGTGTTACAAGTCACAAGCCCTCATAACATAATGAAAAAACAAGCTCTAGTTTTAGTTCTGCACTGACTTTAGCGTAAATAAGTAGTTACTGACTAACCTCATTTCTTGCCATGTCATGAATCTCAAAAAGAGTCTTGAGCAACTTAATCCCAAGTTCTTCAATACCCATCAGTTCTTCAGCTCCATCACTGACTTTACCACTCTCCTCATTCGCTGACTCTAGCAAGATAAAGCAGAACTGGACAATGCTAGGTACTACATGCTCTCTACCACAGTTGCTCTCATTAATCTGACGCATAACCAGGTACACACCATATTTCAATTAGTTAAATCTTCATTTAGCATATTAAAGGGACAGGCGGAAAACCTTAAAGAAAACATACAGCTTTAATGAAAGCCTTCTCCACATATTTGGCTGTTTCAAGACATTCTTCCTTCACTTTATCCGGCAACCATTTGCAATCCCTAAAAAGTTCAGAATTATGTTAAGCAATATACATTATTAATTGATGCAGTTTTTAGCATTCATTGTCATTGCCATCACGCAGCTATATTGTTTTGGCCAATTTCCTTATGTTTTATGGCTTATCTATAGTCATTGGAAATTCACATCTTGTTGAGCATAAAAAGAGTTTCTACCAGTTGGGATCAGAACTCTACTGCTTAAATAAAAATACATTCGTAAAAATTGCTTCACACTATATAATTTAGCTACTTAACAACCAGAAGAAACTATGCATCCGTGGAAGGAAAATTTTTTGCCATTATGCGGTTAACTTGTATCATCTAATGTCCTAGTGTTTTTACGGTTCGTTATGGTCATTCATGATTCAAGCTTGTTGAAATCAAAGAAGAGTTTCTACTACATTAAGTTAGGGCGTAATCAATAAGTGTAAACATTCAGCAAAAATCGTTTCAAACTACAGAACTCAGCAGCTTTTAAGCTTGAAAGCATCACACTCACCTTGAAACCCTATAATCCTTCTGCGAACTAACAACCGCCGCCTTCAAAACCCCAATCGCATTCTCCCCAAACCTCCTAACCCTCGCGATGGAAAGAACCACAGCAACCACAAAATGATTAATCACCCCAAAATCCGACTTCACGATCCCAATCACCTCGTTCCCCAGCGACAAATCCTGCTTCACCGCGAAGTTCACATGCATCAGCACCGTCCCCTCCACCTCCCTCACAATCCTCCCCTGCCCCTTCAAACCCTCGAAAAACCCTAAGATCCCCTTCACGATCTCCCTCCTGCTCACCCCCCTCGACGCCAAAACCAGCAACTGGTACACCAACGCCGGCAAATCCTGGATCTCAACCTTCCTCATCCCATCAAACACTTTGTCAACCAGTTCCAAGACCCCAGCCCTGGGAACCCCATCAAAGTCCTTAATCAACGGCACGATCTTCAAAAGGATGGCCCTCGACCAGTCGATCGATCGAATCTTATCGATTACGAGATCGGCCGTGCTTTGGTTTACGAGGTGTGGGAGGAGGTCGAGGGATTTGGCGTCGGGGTCCGAGAGGATCGAGTCGAGGACCGGAGGGAGGTCGGGTTTGGGGAGGGATTTGAGGTGGGGTGAGAACAGGAGGCGGAGGGAGTCGGGGGAGGTCGAGGTTACCGCGGAGAGAGGGGAGGAGGAGGGAGGGGCAGGGAGGAGAGGGAGGGGGAGGGAGGGGAGGCGGGAGATGAGGGAGAGGAGAGGAGAGGTAGGAGGTGACGGAATCGAGGGGGGGAGGGAGGAGAGATGGGAGAGGAGAAGGGAGTGGGGGGCTGTGGAGGGGAGGGACGCGGTCGGTCGCTTTTGCGAGGTGGATGATGTGGGCGGGGGTCATGGCACCCGCGGTGGGGGTTAGGGCTTTTGCGGAAAGAGGGGTCTTGGTGGAGACGAGGGGTTGTGGCCCTGTGGGGTTCATTTGCGGCGGGAAAACATGAGACGGCTGCGGGGGAATCGCCAAAGTTTTTTTTTTTTTTTTTTGCCTTTTTTTATTTTCTTATCTTCCCCCTCTTTTTAAAGCTTGAGCACTTACTGTAAATTGCAACAATTTTCTAGTGGGATATGTCTCATATCTATTTGGCATCTAACCTACTGGGACTTTATGATAAGTTAGCGCTAGGATTTAGCATTACATAAGTCTCTCATGTGGGAGGGATTGAGATGAGATTGAGAGAATCTGGAAAGAATATGTGAGAGATGTTGTGTCTATTAGGTTGTGAGATAGAAAGAGTGAGTGATTCATCTTGTATTGTTCTCCCTCATATATAGTAGATTCTCTCATATTGTTGCCCCGTGGGTATAAGCCGCACTCGGTTGACTAAACCGTGTAAATCTCGGTGTTCTTCTCGCTTGTGTTATTTTCTATCTTGTGAATTTGCGACTTGAACTCCAAGTTGCAGAGATTGGAACTGGTCGTTGATTTCCCAACAAGTGATATCAGAGTAAACGGTGATGGATCCAGGGAGTTCGCAAGGTAGGGTTTTTGTGGTGATGTGGAATCAAAGATCGGCTATTGTACAATGGGTGAAGATGAAGAAGAAGAAGAAGAAAATGGCTTTAAACAAATTTAATAAAAAAAAATCATCTCATTGTAATTCTCGAGTACTGATTTAAGTAATTATTGCTTAATTTAATTTAGCAGAGGATGCCAGGGATCATGGATTGAGTAACGTTGGTTGTTTTCAGGCAACTGGGGAGGGTCATGGGAGTAATCTTTTTTTTATTTTTTTATGGCAACACAGGAGTGGCATGATTATCATATTTCGGTAGTACATAAAGATGTGTACAACAGGCTGATTAAGCTAGTAAAAAATCAACAGTGAAACAATTGGTATACCTGCCCCCCCCAAAAAAATAAAAATAAATAAAAAATAAAAAATAAAAAATAAAAAAAAATTAAAGTTTTGCAGTTGCTGGGATGTCGGTGGAATATTGAAAAGTGGAATTTTTTAGAGTGGATTCAGATGTATTATAGATATAGGGGCTTCAAGCCAATTAGGGTTCATAGTTCCTCTTGCTTGGTTCTGATCCATTCAAATTAAGTTCATACTTATTCTTTATTAAACTTGAACCGTTTGAATAAAGTTCAATATGTTATTAGTGATATCGCTGTCATAGGCATAGCGTGCCCATATAAATTAAGATGATCTTATTGACATTATAAATCTGTATAATTTCATTAGTGTACGTGAACCACAGTAAAGTCAACTATTAATCTGAAATTCAGAGTAGTTCCCAATTTACGAGCCTGTGTAAAATTACAAAATTTATATTGCCATTTCATAAGAGTCTATGTCACGTAATGTAAATTTCTCATCAAATCTATAATATCAGAAGTAACCCAACAAGTTTCATTAGATGGTATAACTAAATTTAGACGTATAGTTTGCATGACAAAAAAGCAAATATGACAAACGATTTTATTTGAGTAATTTCACTTAACAACTATTGCACATAACATTTTTCGTGAGCAAAATGTGCTGTATTGAATTATAATCATAACCATACTAAATAATGATACTAATGTTTCTTAATACAACAACTTGTTAGACCCTAGAGGGGGGTGATTAGGGTCTTATGATAATCTAATCCGATTTTATGCCGATTAAAACTTATTAATAAATTATTATTGCAAGATAGATATACAATATGTTATGAGCAAGAATATGCAATGAACAAAGAGATATATCCTATATGGTGAAATATATGCAAGGATATATAAACAACACAAGGGTAAACAATCTAAACTAAAGATACAATTGTGATATGGCAATATAAACAATACAAATACACAATATGATCACGGAGTTCGGACATTCCGTCCTACGTCTCCGCTCCCCACTTCCAGGAAGAAATCCACTATCACAACCGGGTTTTCTACGCTCACTCGAACAACGTTTGCAGCACACAATATCGGTTTTCAACGCTCACAATCTCACAACTAACACACCGAGTTTTCTACGCTTACCCGAAAAACGTTCACACCTCACAATACAATTTTCTAGCTAACCGAAAACTCTACAACACACAATTGATCTCCACGAGATCACACTCATAATTAGGCACGAATACAATAAATTTATTCTCTACAATAGATAAGAACTCAATGTAGGCTCACACTCAATATCACAATCCCACACCCCAAATAATTAATACTATGAATGTAAATACAATAAGCTTAATAGGTTGTGTGTGAACAAAGAGATAAATCAAAACAAGTCTAAACTCAATTTAATCTAGCAAAATAAATATGACAAATTAAGCATAAACAAGCTAGATAAATAGTTTAAGAAAACTTCTCTAAAACAAGAGTGGAGGGATGTAGATTGAAGCCCAAACAAGATTGATGATCTCCTTAAACTCTTGTGAAATTCTCTTCACAAATAAATTCTTAAGCACTTTTTTAAACAAACACAAAACAAGTTTAAACTCTTGTTAAACTCTTTTAAAACATTTTTTTGGATGCATATGAAACTAAGGTATAAGGGGGTATATATAGGATGAAGAAACAACCCTCAAAAACCCAAGAAAACCAAACAAAAAGACAAAATAATGGATATATAAAAATCTGGAAAAACTAGCCGTTATGAGGTTGTCGGTCGACTGAAAATGTACATCAGTCGACTGATGATCTCGAAAGAAGAAAAACAGACAGTTTCAGAGAGCTGGATTTTTGCGTATCTGGTTTTGTAAAATCAATTAAAAATAGTAAATCAAATCCAAAAAATTTGAAATTTTGAGAGAATGTTCTAGACATGTAGATAAACATGTTAGAGAAAGGATTTCTGAAATATCATTTCCTAGTTGAGAGAAATAAATGTTTGAACATAGATCTTATAGTTTCTAAAAGCTGCTGAAACATCCGACTTTGTAAAATCAATTTGACACAGTAAATCAACTTTGAAATTCATGAAATTTTGAGGAAAGTTTCTAAACACGTATATGAACATTTTAGAGAAAGAATTTTGTAAATATCACTTCCCATTTGAGAGAAATAAATTATTTTGTAAACTGGTCAAAAACTAAAAATCTGTAAACAATACAAAAACTAGCCGTTATGAGCTTATCAGTCGACTGATCAGTCGACCGACCTCATCAGTCGAGTGAAAAGAAACAGAGGCTTTTGATGATTCCAGATGTTTTCATCAGTCGAATGAACACATGTATCAGTCGATTGATAACACTGTATCAGCCTGATTAAAACCGAAAAACTGATTTTTAAAGTGCCTTTAAAAATAGCAAATAAATTCCAAATTTTATGAAACTTTGAGAAATGTTTATAAAAATGTAAATGAACATGTTACAAAAGGATTTTTTGGATTTTCACTTCACATTTGTGAAAACTCATCATTTTTTAAAATAGTCCAAAAACATGAAAACTAAACACACATGTTTTTGACAAAATACTTAAACACTATTTTGAAACATTGTAAAATGATTATATAGACTTGATAAGAGATGTATATTATTGTTGACACTATTTTGAAACATTGTAAAATGATTATATAGACTTGATAAGAGATGTATATTATTGTTGTTAAGTCTATAAACCAATGATAAGAGATGTATATTATTGTTGTTAAGTCTATAAACCAAAAACTCAAATATGTATATATAACTATATTTATATAAGACTGAAATGTGTATGTGTGTATATGATATTGAGCGTAAAGTACTAACACACATAATATAAAAAGCTAAACTAAATTACCCAAGCTATCTAGATATTCGATGAAGCTCAACTTGGTACACTTGCGGATGAAGCTTGAACTTAGATCTTCAACTTAAATTACAAGGCTTCGTACCACAATTCCGCCAACTTCCATTGGATATGATCGTTGAAGCGTAATTCCATTCAACCTCCAACTCGTTGTCTGTCTACAATAAATAAAAATACGCAAACACTAGATAAATAACATTAGTGATAATTTGTTTGTTAAATATCATCAAAACAAAGAGGCCAACAACTAACTTTATCCTAATGCACGAAAGTCACGGGATCCCAGTTCAAGCCACGCGTCCTCTTTTCTCCTTTTCCCCTGCTCACTCACCGCCACGACAGCAGCCAATACATCCAAAGTTTTCTAATAACTCCAAAGTTCTAACTTGATTTATTGCGAAGCCCACCCAATTATAATCAAATCATTATCGACCCACAGCAGCACACAAATTTGATTTAACTATACTTTATGTGCTTTATCGTTAAATGTTTCCTATAGTTTTGTCTAATTCGACATGTCAAGATTTTAATTGGTCTATTTGATGTAAATTACTATATTTTAAACTTAGCTGTTAAATATAATTTTTAAATATTGTATCCATAACAGATAAAGGTAAAACTGTGAGTTAAAAGTACATATTTTGGATTATGAGTTTTCTGATATCAGTCTTTAAACCTTTAATATTTTCAAGTCAGTCATTTAAATCGTTGAAGCTGTTATAAGACTACTTCACT